TCATCATCACAATCAAGAAGATCAATCAACATCAAAACATGATAAAGCCAACCGAACCATGCAAGCTCTACCACCTACAAAGAAGTCCCCCCACACTAGCATGATGCTAAGCCTTCCCCCACACTACCAAAAAAAACATCCCTTTTCTTCTTACACCCCCCACACTAAAACAATGCACTGTCCGCGGTGCGCCAAATTAAAACATTGGGAGGGGGCAAAGAGGAGAAATAAAGAACAAGGGGGGCTAGTGGCCACTAGGGCCGGCTTTTTCATCTTCCCCATCATCCTCGGGGTCATAAGAGAACCCCTCCGGAGGGATGCCGTGTGGGTCCCAACCACCGGTGAAACCCGGGGGCCAACTATAGTGACCTCGAAAGAGGTCTTGTTGCCATTGAGGTAACGGGTCGAAAGGGGCGGGAAGATGAAGAGGGGAAGGGTGGGTAGGGTTGACATATGGATAGTTGGGGTCACCCTTAAAATCACTCCCCCCCGGGGCACGATAATCGTACCCGGTTTCTGTCGGGTAGTCTACCCGGGAAATGCCTTGGGAGGAGGGCCTTGCCAATAGGGCCAAGTAGGTTGCGATCCCTGCCACTGAGGGACCGGGCCTTGTTGGGGCGGTGTAGATACCTAAAAATGTCTCCCAAAAACCAAACCCGATGATGAACAACCTTTCACCGCCACTATTGGTCGGGTTTAGTATTTAATCCCGAGAGTGCTTAAAAAATCGTATTTTTGAATAGTCCATGGATTAGTCTTGATGTTTGGTAAAAGCATAGTTTTAATTTCAGCCCAAACCTATTATTTAATTTTAGCCCAAACCTTTTTTTTTATTTTATTGTTTTATTATTTATTTTTGGCCCAAACCTTTTATTTATTTTATTTACTTATTTTCGTATTTTAGCCCAAATAACAATAAGTTAGAATAAGGCCCGAAATTATCAATCGACACTTAAAATGCTGAACGAAATTAAGGTTAAAAATGAATTTAGACGGAAAAGCGGACTGAAAATTCCCGCGTCACGGCAACAGTCCACCGTGTCACGGGAAACCTTCCCGTCTAACGGTGGGATTCCCCGTGACACGGGAAACCTGCTGTAACACGGGAATTTCCGTGTCCTTTCCGCGTAAACCCTTAACGCGTTTTCTCCCCCGTTCACTAAATATTTCCCGCGTCACACAAAATGTGCATCGTGCCACGGGAATGTTTCCCGTCTGACGGTGGGATTTCCCGTGTCACGGTACAATTTTCCATGTCGCGGGATACTTTTTTAGGGTTTTCATCATTTTAGGGTTCCGTGTGTTCCATCAGCACATTTTTTCTATAAATACCCCCTCATTTCTGATGTACGGGGCATCAATTAATTCTCTAGTTTTTTCTCTCTTCTATGCTTTAGCCTAAACACTACCTACCCTTCTTCTTTCAAAATTCCTTCTTCAAGTACTCCAAGGAGTCCATACTTTACTCGTGGTTCTGTCCTTAAGCCAAGGCGTGAAAGTTGCAAGCAAACAGAATCAAAGTAAGAGTTATGTTCCTTTTATTTCTATTATTTTTCTAACGATTTTATATTGTTGGAATTATTGTTAAATTGCTTCAAAATTCTATTATTTATTTTTGATCACCATATTTCATGTTAAAGGGAATACGTAATTGAAAATCACGCCTAATAAGATAATTTGGACAACCGACTTAGGTTCCTTTTTAATCTTGTTGTTAGTTTAAGTGATCACGATATTTTAGAATTATGTGTTGCATTAATATTAAACCAATTTAGAATAATATTAGTTTGGAGAAAATTGAATATGTTGTTTGTATGCCTTTGAGATCGTAGGAATCACTTTTCACTATAAGAATCGAGTAGAGGCTAATACGGGCGAATGTGACTCCATGACTCACTTCGTACCATCATCCCCGATCCTCCTTTCGTGGTTCCGAACCATATGGAGTTAGTAATCTCATGGATTATGAATGGGGTGTAACCTTCACGGGTAAATCGTTGTTGCCTTCGTTGTCCCTTATTCGTGGTTGCCTTAAATGATCCGTGAACGGTTTACAAGTTCCTTAAAAACTTGTTGGCGGCTCCCTACTTTCCTTGTCCCTAATCGTATATGTCAATTCCTAGTTCCTAAGAGTGCCAAGCATATTCACACATGCTTTAACGTAGGCGCACTTCAAACGACGCCTACAGGCGGCCAATAGGGGTAATTGAAGGCTACTCATGCCTTGATGTTGTTGTTGTTTATGATGATGCTGTTGTTGTTGTTGTTGTTGCTGATGTTGTTGTTGCTGTTGTTGTTGCTGATGTTGTTGTTGCTGTTGTTGTTGCTGATGTTGTTGTTGCTGTTCGACTACCATATTCCTTGCGCCACCCAAAGCAGTGGGTAACACACCATTGTCTCGCGGAATTTTCCATACATTCCTAGCATTCCGCTTCAAGGATGTATGGCTGGGGTAAGGCAAGATACAATGGTGCTCGCGCTCAACAATCCAAGCATGAATATTGTTGGTATATGACGTTCCTTGGAGGAACCCCTACCTTCTCATATATTGTATGTCAATGAATAAATCCTTGTCGGCCCCAACTTGAGTGCATGCGGGGAAGAAGCATTCATAGTTAAGCTTCTTAGCAATCCTTGCGATCATCCCACCAAGGGCAATTTCTCCCGTCTTGTGACCTGACTTGATTGCCTCGTAGCACAGGATGAACCAGTACCCCATGTTGAGCCGCCTTCTTAACTCCTCCCTAGTAGCAACCCACAAAGTAAAGAGTTCTTCATTCGAGAGCTTACTCAAATCTTGCTTGCTAAACACCGCATACCCCAGAATGCGTTGAAGGATACAGAGAACAGGGTGGATAATTTGGTTGGCCACCGAATACCTAGTGTTGAACTCTTCAAAATCGGTAATCGTTTGCCACCATCGAAATGCATCGTACTCGGGGAATAGGCTCAAAGAAGGGGCAAGAAGGTCCGCCTCGGGGTTCAAATCGAACAATGTATTGAGATCACTAAGAGTCATAGTGTGTTGGTTGTTGAAAAGTTGGAAGGAAATTTGGAAATCGTTGTTCCCATAAGGCTCTTTTTCAAATGAGGCCAATAATTTGAAGGTGGGCTCTTTATATGTTCGATGTTGATGAACTCATTCATCCCTAAGTTGTCAAGGAGTGACCTTATTTCATCATCAATCCCCAAAGCTCTCATGGAGCGTTGATCATAGTGTCTCGTGGGATTTAGCTTTCGTCCTTGAAGGTCATTGAAGAAGGTAGCATGGACCTTGTTCAAGAATTTCAATCGAGGGGGAACATTTGGTCCTTGAGCTTGAGTTTGAGTACTAGGTTCCTCAACCCTTAACCGGGGCTCCTTTATACTCTTCTTTTTGTTCATTGTGGCCTCAAGCAATACAAACAACCAAACCAAAAGAGAACTCACTTCGAACTAACTCAACCAATAATTGAAACACAACAACAACAACCCGATCCTTAACAATCTGCAAAAAGGTTAGTACCAACAACTAACCACACAAATATAGCTAAAAAAACAACTAGAATCAACAACAAAGCACTCAATCACAATACATTATGATAATAAGCAATTTTCATGAAAATAGTTGCATTATCATCAATACTAACACAAAATTGCTCAACTCAATTCCATGAAAATAACTTCCTAATCAATAATGTTAACAACAATGTTCCAAAATCACTAAATATCACACTAAAAACCAATAAATCCTTAGCAAAGAAAATCAAAATCACATGAAACTCACTCAAGCTAAACCGTGCTTAATAACTAAAAATTTTGCATAAACAAGTGAAAATAAGCAATAAAGTAGCAAAATTTAGAGTTATAACACTTAGTAGAAGCTTGAACACCACTAAGAACCCCCAAGAATAACACCTTCAACTAAGCTTGCACACCATAAAAATGGAGGATTTTTGGGTATTTTGGAGAGACAAAGTGGGTAAATTTGTGTGTAGAGTGAAAAATTTTGATGGATTTGAAGGAAAATCAATGGAATTTGTGAGAAATGGGTGAAATTGAAGGGTTAGGGTTTGAGTTTGTGAGGAGAGAGAAGAGAGCATGAAATAGGGCTTGTGAAAATATGAGGGTGAAATGGGGAAGAAGAACTTAAAACCCGATTTTCCCAGCTCTACGCGCCCGCACACTCGATCTGCGCGCCCGTATAGGTATATGCGTGCCCGCACAGGTATTTGCGCGCCCGCACAAGGGTTGCGCAGACTCACTGCCTCAAATCTCAAATTTTGAACAAAAGTGTGCGGGTTCTGACAGGGTTGCGCGCACGCACACCCTTCCCTACGCGCTCGCACAGAGGTCTCGCACAAGGTCGCACAAACCTTCTGTCTCGAGCTTAAATTTTGAACAAAAGTGTGCGGGTTCTGACAAGGCTGCGCGCCCGCACACTTTTCACTGCGCGCCGCACAGTAGTCGCGCACAGGGTCGCGCAGAGCAAATCTTGAATTTCTTTCTTCTCTCATCTTCGACATAGAAAAACCTTTACTCCTTCATCATCCAAACACCTATCAACCAAAAGGGGAACAATAAAATTCAAATTCAAAAAAGAAAAGTGAAATCGGAATATATAAAAAAAAATAGAAAAGAGTTAGAAGCTCGGGTTGCCTCCCGAGAAGCGCTTCTTTATGAGGTCACTAGGTTGACCATGAGGAAAATTCTTCAAGCGGGAGGCTTGGGATCCAAAGGATCAAGCATTATACATTCGATGACACCAACTTCTTCTTTGCAAAATTAATGCTTTAAACGATGACCATTAACCATGAACTTGTTACCATCTGCATCTAACTCAAAGGAGCCATAAGGATTAGTCTTTGATATGACAAAAGGACCCGACCACTTTGACGTGAGTTTACCTTGAAACAAATGAAGCCTTGAGTAGAAAAGCAAAATCTTGTCTCCAACCTTAAAGCTCTTGTTTCAATAATATGTAGGTCATGCAACTTTTTGGTCTTCTCCTTATATAACCTTTAGCTCTCATAAGCATCATCTCTAAGCTCTTCAAGTTCATTAAGCTTAAGCAATCTCTTCTCACCGGCCAACGATAAATCCATATCGAGTTCTTTGATGGCCCACCAAGCCTTGTATTCTAACTCAACCGGCAAGTGACAAGGCTTTCCATAGACCAACCTATAGGGAGTCGTGCCGATTGGAGTCTTGTACGCCGTCCTAAGATCCCATAGTGTGTCATCAAGTTTGAGAGACCAATCTTTCCTTGATTTGTTCACTATCCTTTCAAGAAGATTTTTGATTTCACGATTCGAGACCTCTACTTGTCCTTGAGTTTGAGGGTGGTAAGGTAATCTAACCTTGTGATGAGCGCCATACCTCTTGAGAAGAGCTTCAAATTGCTTTTTGGCAAAATGGGAGCCTCCATCACTAATTAGCACCCTTGGAACCCCAAACCTAGGAAAAATTATCTTCTTTAGAAGCTTAAGCACAACCTTGTGATCGTTGGCAGGTGAGGGTATGGCTTCAATCCATTTCGTCACATAATCAACCGCTACCAATATATATAGATTTCCACAAGAAGAAACGAAAGGCCCCATAAAGTCCACTCCCCATACATCAAAGGGATCAACTTCCAAGACATTTTGTTGAGGCATTTCATCTCTTTTGGTTATGCCACCACTCCTTTGACACCTATCACATTGTGAAACAAACTTGTGGGCATCCTTATGCATCGTTGGCCACCACAATAGAGATTGAGAGATTTTTGCCACCGTCTTATCAACACCCCCATGTCCTCCACATGGTAGTGAATGGCAATGCTCAAGAACTCCTTCGATTTCATAATCCGGAACACGTTTTTGAAAAAGGCCATCTCCGCATTGTTTGAACAAGTATGGGTCGTTCCAAAAATACCTCCTCACTTCCTTGAATAACCTCTTCTTTTCTTGAGAAGAAAACTCCGGGCCGGGGGAATGACTGCACAAGCATGATAATTGGCAATGTCCGCATACCAAGGGCTACATGTTGAAGCCATAGTAATGAGAGCTTCAAATCCTATCTCATCATTGATTGGTACATCATCTTTGTTCTCAAAAGGTAGCCTAGACAAATGATCCGCAATGTAGTTCTCGACTCCCTTTTTGTCCCTCATTTCCATATGAAAATCTTGAAGAGAGAGAACCCAACGGATTAGGCGAGGCTTTGCTTCCTTCTTAGTCATGAGATATCGCACCACAATATGATCCGTGTACACAATCACCTTAGAGCAAATAAGATAGGACCTAAACTTATCAAAGGCAAAATCAACCGCTAGCATTTCCTTCTCTATTGTTGTATAGTTCTTTTGAGCTTCATAAAGAGTCCTACTTGCATAGTAGATGACACATGATTTTCCTTCTTTCTTTTGTCCAAGCACGACACCCACTCCAAAATCACTTGCATCGCACATTAGCTTAAAAGGAAAGCTCCAATCCGGAGCTTGCATAACGGGAGAGGAAATGAGAGTTTCCTTGAGCTTATGAAATGCCTCAAGGCAAGCCTCGTTGAAGTTAAAAAGCAACATCCTTTTTGAGTAATTCGGTCAAAGGTTTGGCGATTGATGAAAAGTATTTGATAAATCTCCGGTAGAAACCGGCATGCCCAAGAAAAGATCGTACTCTCGTGATAGAAGGAGGAGGGGGAAATTTCTTAATCACCGAAACTTTGGCCGGATCAATCTTATTGCCATTTTTTGAAACTTTATGGCCGAGGTCAATGCCCTCCTCGACCATGAAGTGGCATTTTTCCTAATTCAAAACCAAACTCGTCTCTTAACACCTTTTCAAAAAAATTTCAAGGTTAAAAAGACAAGTGTCAAAAGACGAGCCACCAACACTAAAATCATCCATGAATACTTCAATTTCTTTTTCAAGCATCTCGGAGAAAATGGAGGTCATGCATCTTTGAAAGGTAGAAGGAGCATTTCATAAACTGAATGGCATTCTTTGATATGCAAATGTCCCATATGGACATGTGAAAGTAGTTTTCTCTTGATCTCTTGGATGGATAGGGATTTGGAAGAATCCGGAATACCCATCCAAGAAACAAAAGAAAGCATGTTGAGAGAGCCTCTCAAGCATTTGGTCCATGAATGGGAGAGGAAAATGATATTTCTTGGTGTTTTTGTTCAACCTCCTATAATCTATACACATTCTCCACCTGGTCACCGTCCGGGTGGAGATTTCCTCTCCTCCTTCACCTTTGATTATGGTCATCCCACCCTTTTTGGGAACTACATGAACCGGGCTAACCCATTTTCTATTGAAGATAGCATAGATGATACCCGCCTCACGTAGTTTCAAAATTTCTTTCTTCACAACCTCTTGAAGGTTAGGGTTCAACCTTCTTTGAGGTTCAATGGAGGTGGAATGATCATCTTCAAGATGAATACGATGCATGCATAAAGAAGGGCTAATACCTTTGATATCATCAATGCTATACCCTATCACATCCTTATATTTTCTCAAAACATCAAGAAGTTTTTCCAAATTAAGACCATCTAGGGTAGCATTGACAATAATAGGGTATTTTCCCTCTTTATCAAGAAAAGCATATTTCAAAGAAGGGGGAAGGGGCTTGACTTCTACATTGGGAGGAGGCTTAGAACTCTCCTCCAATTTCTCCTCCTTGGACTCAAGCTCGATCTCAACTTGTTGTTCAACCTCCTCCTTTGAGGATTCCTCCATTTCCATGACAAACTCTTTAGCCTCTTGAGAGTGGAACTCTTCTTTGCATGTAAGAGCTTCTATCATTGGATCTTGAGGCCTCATTACGACCCTCCCCAAGAGAACTGGCTCCTCATTCAAAACATCAACTCTATAACATTTTTCAACCATGGGGGTCCTGAGCAACTTAGAAAACTCAAAGACAATCTTCTCATCAGCCACCTCACATGTGATGGTGTTGTTCTTGTAATTGATGACCGCCCCTAAAGTTTTAAGAGCTTCACGTCCCAAAATCAAAGGAGTGTTAATCCATATCCATCACTACAAAGTTACAAGGCACGTATATGTGTCCCACTTGAATTGGAACATACTCAAGCTCTCCACAAGGTAATTTCACCGACCGATTAACCAATTGAATTGTCTTCCTTGTAGGGATCATCTCTATATTGAGTTTTTCAGCAATGGATAGAGGGATTAAAGTAACACTTGTTCCAAGATCAGCTAAGGCGCCCCTAGCTTTCATGTTCCCAATTTTCACTGGCAAAGTGAAACTTCCCGGGTCTTTTTCCTTCTTGGGCATCTTATGTTGGACAAGAGCACTCACTTGATGTGGAAGGGTGATAAGCTCATCAGTGAGCTTCCTCTTGTTGGTGAGAATATCTTTGAGGAACTTGGAGTAAGATGGCATTTGTGTCACAACTTCAAGGAAAGGGAGGTTAATGTGAAAATTATTCATGACACTAAGGAATTTTGCAAACTTGTCATTCAATTTCCTCTCCGCAAGTCGACCGAGAAAAGGAACCGGTCCATCAAGATTCCTAGCCTCACTAGGAATTGAAGTTGTCTTCTCATTGTCAAGCTTCTTCTTCTCCGAACCTCCTTCTATCTCATCAACCTTTTCTTCCTCACCTCCCTTGTTTTCATTCACACTCTCCTCTCCTCCCTTCTTTTCCTCACTATCCCCTTCATTTGGCCCTTCATAGGAAGTTCCCGACCTCAATATGATCGCTTTGCATGTATCGGGTTTTGAGTTGTGAGATGGGTTAGGTTGTGGTTGTCCGGGTAGAGTAGATGGTGAATTGAAAGGAGTTCTCTCAGCCAATTGAGCTAGTTGTGAATAAACCATCTTGTTGTGAGCTCTTATCTCTTGCATTTGTTTCCCAAAAGATTGCATTTGCGCATGCATGGCTTGGAGGAATTGAGTTTGTGTTAGCTCCGCTTGAGGTGCTTGTTCTTGATGATTTCTTTGAGGTGCTTGGGTTTGATTGTTGTATTGGTTGTTCCTTGGATAGCTTCCTCTTGGGTTTTGGGGTTGAGATGGAGGTGGATTTTGATATTGAGGGTTGGAGTTGTAGGAAGGTTGAGCTTGTTGGTTCCATTGTTGAGGTTGAGGTACAAACCCGGGTGGTGGTTGTCTCCAAGCTACCCCACCTCCGCTTCCTCTAAATCCCTCTTGCCTTGTGTTGTATGTCGCTACATGCTTGGGGCTTAAACCTCCACTATAAGATGTATCATGGTTCGTTCCTCCACAATTTTGACAAGAGAAAGAGTTAACTTGGGAGGAGCTTGCTTCACCGCTTGAACTTGCATTCACACTCGTGTTCAACTTGGAAAGCCCTTTTGTTAGTTGATCAATTTGATGTTGTAATTGATCAACTTTCTCCAATTCGTAAATACCACCTTTCTTTGGAGCATTTCTTCTTCGGCCCCCCAAGAGTAAATCTTTGCTACCTCTTATATTGTGGCTTCAACTTGATTTTGAGAGATTTTGATTAATTGACCACCCGCCCCTGCATCCAAATTGGCTCTTGACATGGGCTCCAATCCGTCGTAGAAAAATCGCATGAGCAACCCTTGATTGTACTCATGGTGGGGACACGCTTGCACCAACTCTTTGAATCTCTCCCATGCTTCACCAAGAATTTCATCGGCTTCTTGCTCAAATGATGCAATTTTCCTTCTCATTTCGGCGGTCTTTTCCTTGGAGATAAATCGCTTTAAGAACGCCTTTACCACCTCCCTCCATGTTGTGAGAGTGTTAGGCTTTACTTGCTTTAGCCATTTTTTTTTTTCGTCCGGTGAGAGATTGTCGGAAAAGGTGCATACGAATGTAGTCTTGACTCACTTCATTGGTTTGCATTATTGCGCACTTTAGACACCCATTTGTGTCTCCCCAAAGCCAAACTCGGTGATGAGTACCTTTCACGTCGAATCATAATCGAATGATGTGAAAGTGTGGAAAGTCTAGTCTTGCGGATAGTTATAATTTCTTTTCTCTTCTCTTTGTTTTTGAAAAACTATTTTAAGAAAACAGCCAATCCAGTTTGGTTTGGTCCATAGCAAGGGTCCAATAATGGTTTATTTGGATGGGGCTTGAAAAGAGCTTTCCAACGATATATTATAAGCCCAATTCCGATGAATAATGAGGTAGTTAATTATGGCCAAATTACTAAACCGGGCCTAGTTTAAGCCTTATATGCGGCCCAATGATCTAGAGGAGCACCTAATATTGATTTATCATTCCTAATGCAATTAGGATTGGTTTTAGTCTTCTAGATTCTTCTAGAAGGTCCTTTCATTCCTAATTCAATTAGCATTGATAAATTGACTTTTTAGAGTTTTAATCAGAATAAAAGAGTGTTTTTAAGAAAAATACGATTTTTCCCTCTGTATGGCTAAATTTTATCTGAATTAAGAAAACGCGTGAAAAAATTCATTAGCGTCTGACGACAAACATTAGCGCCTGGCGCCTGACGCTAGCCTTAGCGCCTGGCGCTAATGGTCAGCGTCTAGCGCTAACTTCTTTTTTCCTCGTCGTAACTGTGATTTGTTTTTTTTATCCGTTTGGCTGATTTTCTCTATAAATAGCCTCCTAAACTCTCCGTTTTTCATCACCAACAATCATCAATTCTCATCAAATTCTCAACTCTCTAATTCTCTTTTCTCTCGAAGCTAAAGCTTGTTCGTTCTCTCTCTTTTCTAAACCAACCGTTTTACATACAAAATTCCGCATTCACAAGACCAAGAAATACCTACCATTGTTCGAAGTTTCCTTCGCCCTAGATGTGAAAGGTTTTAATTTCCGAGGGTTTGGTCCCAAATCTCTATTTCAATTATTTTATTTTATTGTTTGATTTTATTATTTTCCTTGAAGTTACTAACGCGTGTATTTTGTTATTAGAAAGAGGTACAAGGCAGCTAAGTAAGTGTTTTAATGGTTTTAATTAATATTATGATGTAGAAATCATGCTTAGGTTGTTATTATGATTCCTAGCGTCATGTTAGGATGTTTTGATCTTCCTAGTATCATGTTTAGGGTAACAACTAAAAAAATCCTAATATCAACTATGATTAAAAGTATGATGCCTTTTATATTCTTTCCTAATATTTATGATTGTTAGTATCATGTTAGGGCTAAAGCTTTGATTTTTATTGCTTAGTGTCATGCTAGGGTTTGTTATTAATTTTGTTAGTATCATGCCTAGGATCTTACTATTATTATGCTTTAACATGATTATTTTAATTATGATTATTATTTTGATTATTATTATGTTGCTTGATATTTATTGTTATTGCTTGATCACACCTTTTATGCATGTTTAAAGGGAATTTGTACTTGTAAACACGCTTAATAAGATAATTAATATTCTTGTTTAGGGTTAATTTAATTATAATTCAAGTGATCGCCAATGATAGATTTATTTGTGCATGTCGGTCAGAAAGCGCACATGAATACGATTAGAATTAAGTAGAGGCCTATTATTAGGGCAGTTCAATCTCTTTTAGGTTGGATTTGTACCTTCACCCTCGAACTACCAGTCATGGTTCCAGACCTATTGGAGTTGACAATCTCCTAGATCGTTAAGGGATGTAACCTTCACCTCGTGAATGGTTTACAAGTTCCTAATACTTGTTGTCGACTCTTTTGCTCTATCTTCTTTCCATTTGGACGCCACCGTACTTTAGTGTATGATCACAGTGGGGGTTCAAGCTAGGGATAATGCTCTGAAATATTCCCTACAACTTTTTGGCGACTCCACTAGGGAGGATTTCTATTTTAATTCCTGAAATTTATTTCGGCGATGATTTAGAATGAGTGGATGAGACTCGAAAAGTTCTAAGTAGTTCATGTGCGTAATTTTGATTAACATTATTGTCATATGCATAAAAAAGATCTCATTGGAAAGACCATCCGTAATGAGTTAAAACATAAGATTTTTATACGTAGGAAATTTAAGGAACATCTTTCATAACTAGGACCGAAATAATGCTGCGCAAAACTGGAAAATTTTATCGAGCACAGAAAGCTGCTGAGGCATGTAGGAACTAGCGTCAGGGAACAAAGTCTAGCGCCAACAATTTGAAGTTAGCGCCAGGAGACAACTTCTGTCGCTAGGCGCTAAAGCCAAATTGTGGCGCTGGCCTCTATTTGCTGGCGCCAAGTGCTTCCAATACCGATCTAGAAATATGCGTTCTGATTTCGACCAGTTTTTAGCACTGTTTGCTCGATCCTACTCCATGATTGAGTTTTTCTCACTTTTCTGAAACCCATATGTGTCTACATATGGACATACGTCTGGGAATTCATGCTCCATCTACATAATTGAATGCTCTGAGCAACAAAGGGTACATCAGAGAATGTTGAATTCACCAAACCATGGAAGCGAGTTTTTCTAAACTCGCGGTGTCCCATCCACTCGCGCCAACCCTTCACGGTTAGGCTTCCGCGCTGTGCATCCGGACAATTAACCATGGACCCTTTATTCTAACCCATATCCTGAACTTTAGAGAACTAGAGCCATGGTTAGGTTGCAAACTTATTGCATCATGTTATGCCTACTTGACTAATTATATTGTGCATTATTGGTTGTGCATCCTCTATATGTTTTTCCTAACCGTTTGTTTGACTTAAGCTAAGATTAAATAAACTGAGTTATGACTAAAAGAACTTTTCCTAATTAATTAATTAATTAATTAATTAATTTGAGTAATTAAAGTTTAATAATTTAATCAGAGTTGACTTAGTACGACTTTAGACATACCCTGTAGAGTAATAATACCGAAAGCAGTTCCTGATCGACGTTCCATTAATGGCGCCAAGATTTAAACTGCAACGCCACTCTGTAGAGCGTAGCGCCTGGCGACAGTCCTATCGTCTAGCACTACAGTAC